AATAGATTGTAGTTGGGATTTAGTGGAATGGTACGAGAGATTAGTATTACACGCGCGTGTACGATTTCGGTTTCGGGTATTAGCGTTCACCAGCGAGCTATGGAGCCCCTGAGCATTGTATTGTTTATGGGACTGCGGACGATGATGATTTGAAATTCTAATTAATCTGCGTCCTGTTAATGATCGTTTCGGTTGGGCTTGAACACGCGCAGTCGAGTTTGAGGCTCGATGTTCCACGTTGGGACGAAACTTTATTCGATTTTAACATTAGTATAGATAAAAAAGAAATATTCTGCAGGAAGCAAAGAATAAAAGGAACCGTTTCTAACTATCCTCCGTATCAGAACTACTAAATCTAAGAATTTGCTACATTTAATTTTCAATATAGAAAAAAGATCCCACGACTTTTGTTCCGTCGACCTCTTTCCCGACTTTCCCGGATCCCGCGACGCTGGAGAGAAACGTCGCTGACTGAAAGTTTCACTTTTACCCTGAAACCCGTTCCTAGATCAATCTGAAACGCGTCGGCCAATTACGGAACATCCATAATTACGTTGTTCCCATAAGCGTAAACTCGAGTAAGAAATTCGCGGCGATTGGTGGCTTCATAAATACGCAAATCCGCGCGTGTAGGCGATGGAAGCGTTGCGTGCCGCGGCTGACGCTTGCGTAACGACAGGCCAGCCTTGATCCGCACCCTCCCGATAATCGTGCCTCTCGAGAGGATCTCTAGATCTTCCCGCCGCGTTCCCGGCGTGCCGTGTGCAATCGATCGTCTGGATCGCGTGCATCGCGTTGCATCGGCTCGCCAGGATATTTACGCGCGTCCTTACGATCAAGCGCGGATGCGGCCTGCTCCCTTACACGTTATGAAATGTAAATTGTGAAACGTAGATCGGGGATGCCTGTTTCTCACGGCTAGGTAGCCCGAAGACTTCGTTTGAGTTATTGCACCGCTTAAATCAACGGTACGGTTCTCGATGTCCGCGTCTTAATTAACGCACCGGTGAGTATGTTAGCTCGCATCGGTTCGCGTTTCGTACCCGGTGCGCCGTTTAATCGTACATCTCGCAAATTAAAAGCCTTTTTTCCATGGGAGATCGAAACGCTCGAGCGATCGACTGCGCGAATTTGCCTCGTGAGAACGGAAAACGATTCCCTTTTTTTTATAACGACGTTGACGATCCTTGCGCCGATGAATTTAATCGGGGTTTGCGGAGAATTTACGAACTTCGGAGCGGATTGTTATCTAAAGTAGCACGACGAAGTTGCGGTAGGAAACACTTTATCTTCGGACTTCTAAAGGCCTTTGGAATCAACCTGTCCTGCCAGGTTGATTGCAACATTCTGCAATTCTACTTTGAAGTAACATTTTAATTTCGTGCGAGTAATTCTCTACAAATAAAATGAACGATCGAAATGCCTAAGAAATTGCCTGCTTAATGAGAGTATTCTGATCTGGAAAGGAAATTTTTAAAACAGGTATTCTTGCTGAATTTAAGTATACAACAAAAATGAAAAATGAAAAACACTTGTAGACCAGAATACTCCCTTAAAGGCACTGACGAGGGTCTATACTCCGCGCCACGGCGATCGACTATCCCTCGACGCCATCTCTGGTCTCTTCGAGCAAACTTATAATCACGGGTGCTGCTCGGTCTCTGAAACAGCCGCCCCCACACGCGAAGGGGAAAGTAGACACGATAGAGCAAATTAACTTTGTTGAAACCGAAAACGTAGCACCTCACTGGTCGACAAGCGATCCAGAGTATCGCGAATCCCGCAGAAGAAGCTCCGGTTGGTCTGGGATTCTCTGGATCCGCGCTACTAAATCTCACTTTGGTCCATCATGTGTCTCGCGTATAATATTTGATTTGACAGATTCAATTATATCTGACACAACAAACCCCAAGAATCGCGGGTCTGACTACCATCTCCATGTCAAAGTGGTAATCTATTCCCATCCTCCGGTCGTGTTTAACTCTCTGCAAACAAGACGCCTGAGAGTATCCAAAGAAAGAAAAAACGATATATCATTTTTCAGCATTCCGCGCGGTACGAAAACAATCCGCACGCAAATCGTCCGAGTTTCGCGCGTACGTCCGGCCCGGTGCACCGTATCGTACATCAACGTCCCGCAAAAGGTGGGCGGACGTCGCGTCAGTCGCTGACGCCCCGCGAAATTGAATCTAAGGGGTCCAGGGTCTGGCGTTCCTTCCTTCCTCCCTGCAGCCACGCTCGCTGCAGGGAGGTCGCAAATCATCACCTCGCTACATTTACAACGTTAGATAGCCCAAGATTACGGTCGTTCGGTTTTCGAGCCTGAGAAGAGCCGGTTAAAACGAGAAATTCCATTCTGCCCCTACATCCTCCCCATTCGTCCCGCCCTTGACAGTCCACGGTGGTTTTAACGCCTTTCGCGAAACCGATCGGTGTCGGCTCCGTAGATATCGCCTGGATGGCCACTCGCGCGAAACAATGCGCCTGCCTTCCGCAGGAACGTGCAGCCGTAATTTATCTGCTGGCGAGGACTAATGAGCCCATGATTACAGGGACCGAGCGAGAACTTCTTGCGAACGCCGAGCCGGATGCCGCGTGTTCGTGCGTCTCGGTCTGTCTTCGGGATCGTTGATTCGAATGCATATTATCGCGCGAAACGCCCACCCACCTGCGTCGCGGGATCCGAGATTTCATTTGCCGGCGCGTATTGTTTCTGCTCGACCAGTTGGGCTTGATTGAGTGCTTAACGGTGACAGGGGTCGAGCACGCCGGTGATCATTGAAATGCTTCGCCATTAAAGTCGACGAACCGACGTATGGGGTAACGCGGTGCGAATCCGGGCACTTTATACCGGTATTATTCCAACAAACACCGATATGCTACCGAATACCGAGATTAAAAGTGTTATTTTATATTTCATTTACCAACGAGGCTAGGTTTTGCTTCACTTTCGAATTCGAGGCGTCGAGATAAATCTTCAGCGATTCTTTCGAAAAACACCGCAAACGTTCGCACGTGACAACGGCAGAGGCTCGATCTCCGTGTGCTCCACTGGTTTTTATTTCCCAGAGGATTTGGTCCTGGCGAAATTCCTCGAGAAGACGTTCGGCCTCGAAACCCTTCCGCGTGATCAAGGACCCGCACTTACCGTTTCTCGCGCTCCTTAAGCCGTTCCTACGTTTTTACATTCTCGACGAAATCCCCGTGGCTTTGCGCCTGTTTATTATGCTCGCCGTCCAAATGATGTCATTAGATATACTTAAGCGGAAATTTATTGGCGTCCTTTATGCCGGTCGAACGGCTCCCGTGAAACTAATTCGTGAACCGTGCGTTCACGACTCATCGGTTATCGCGTCGAATTTCCTTTTCTCCTCCCCTGCCCCGCTCGGATTTCGTCGTCGCGTGAGAACCGACCATGTTTTTATCGCCCTCTATACCGGTGGCCGTTTTGCGGCAGCTTTCCGTGCAAGAATTCGTCGTAACCCCGGGGCGTACACTTTTACGATAATCTTTCTTACGACTGACTCCGCCGTCGTGAACTTTCTAAAGGTGAAAGATCGAATTGACCTGTTTGTTTAACGCACGAACCGCTCTCGTGAGAGCCGTTATCGGGAAACGGTGCGATCGTCGTTTTATCACCGCCAGGCTCTGCGATTATCAATTTTTATTTGGCAAATAGTAACGATAATAGCGAACGAAACACGTGTTCGAGACCACTCCTTGGCGAATGCAATATAGAGGGTACTGAAAAGAAAAGGGTTCTCGACATTCACGACGGATGAAAAGATTCTAAAATTGCTGACACTAGCCAAATGCAACAAATTCTGAGACCTTTGACACAAATTAATTTTCTGGATAACGTTATTTCTAAAAATTTTATTCCTCGTTTTCCCTGCTCGATAATGCTACGTATATGTGTTTGAAGTAGGTTTTCCATTAACTTTCTACTTATTTGCTGTGGTAGATCGATAACGATGACCATTTAATAAATATCAAATTTGAATGAATTCGAACGGTTTATTTTCGCTTGGAATGGACAAAAGTATTATGGTACCGATTCTGTCAGAGATTTTATTTGCCGTATCTATCGTCGAATGCTAGAACAAAAATGGAAAAAAATAATTCTGGCCCATGAGGGGATCGAACCCGCGACCTTCGCGTTATTAGCACGACGCTCTAACCAACTGAGCTAATGGGCCGATGACATCTAGTTGTTGTTTTATATATTTCTCCTACAATATAAATTATTTATTATTTCTAAAAATAACGTTACACTCGTTTCTAACAACGAGTATTAATAATATTCCACTCGAAACCAGTATAAGTAATATAACCAAGTTTAAGTCGTATGAAAGTGTCTTAGAAATTACTGTTTCTACTTCTCACTTTAGATGATTGAATGATTTCTTGTTTAAAAATTACCTTGAATTGCTAAAGTATTTCTTCATTTTTTAGTGGTTCAACAATATTTGAAGCTTACGGATGAAACGACCATAATCTATCCCAGACAGGATTATTCGAGATTGAAATTTTAGCATCATGTGTTAGAGCTTGGGCAAAGCTCTCGGATTGTAGTTTAATAAGAGGATAAAATGCAGAGTCTAGAAAAATGGAGGACTAAAGAATCATGTGTTAGGGAGAGAACGATCAATACCATGTTTCTCCAGTGAGAGAATGATGAAAGTGCAACTAGATTGATTAATTTTCAGAGTAATTTAGATCGTGTATAGTGGAAAATATTTGCCAAGTTTGTTGTTCAAATACTGAAACTTTTATCTTTTACCTTCATACGTATAGTTAAATAAAATACTATATGAGTGACGCCCTAACACTAAAATAGAAACAAATTCAGTGTCAACGTCATCTCTAAAATTATGCAAGGTTACATCACATTTGACGATCGAACAATTGGTTAGTTCGAAAATGAAAGAGCGGTGACATCGTTTAGAAAAGAAGTTTATTTCGACGGCAAAATTTAGAAGTATTAATAATCAGACAAAATGCCTGCCGCAGAGCCAATTGATATGTTAAATAACACGCTACAAGAAATTGTCTTTAGAACTAAGAATTCGGAAAGATTCAAACGACTGGCACGTCACACTCATTTCGATGTCAGAGAAGTTGAAGGTTATGCATTTAGAATATTATTACTTTTCCAAAGCGTTTAGTAATTATTATATTAATTCCTTTTCATAACAGCATTGGCAATAATCCATCGAAAATGCGTAGAAAAGTTGGGTCCTATAAACAGACCAATATTTCGTGATATCTTTCAATCGGGTTTAGACTTTACGGAAAATATTCGTCACTTACTGATCGACAGAATATTCTCCGCGTTCGATAATCGAAATGCTCTGCAGGTAATGAAATGATAGAGAAGAAATTGTCAAATGGTAAATATATGTTATAGATCATATTTTAGGTACATCTCGATCAATGGGTCGAAGGTCTTTCAACATTGCTTCGTGGCAGCTTGGATGAAAAAATACGCTACGCTTATCAAGTAAGGATTCCTCCGAGTTTTTTATTTATCACCAGCTGAAATTTTCCATTCATAGGTGTATGATAACCTGAAGACTAACAAACTAAAGAGGGAGCAGATATTTCTATCGATGCACGGTTGTTTGATCAAACTGCAGAACGATGAAAATCCTGACGAAGCCGTTAAGGTAAAGGAAAATGTTCCTACAGACTGTATGTAATGAAATTTCTTTGTTTCGCAGGACTTGATAGATATGTTGATGAAGAAGCTTGACGTGGACCGTGACGGATACATCTCGGAAGAGGATTTCAAAGCTGCTGTTAAAGACAAAGATCAACTCTTATTGGAATGCATGGGACCAGTGTTCCCTTCGAGAGCAGCTCGCCACACCTTTTTAACCACGTTCACCGATCGTCTAGGAAGATATTAATAAATGAAAAAATAGCGATCGTACGACGGTTTCGAGCAGATTATACTGTTCCGTTCGCGTTGGATTTACGTCAAGAACGACGCACGCATAGCGAAGTTTGCCAGGAGCAGAGCTCTTATTGAAAAGCCAAGAGCGTGTTCTCGCAATGCCAATGGGGGAAGAAAATGTGCCAAATCAGACAGAAGAGATCCGACTAGGCTGCTGAACGCTCCACTAAGTTTTTCAAGTTCAACCTGAGGTGCATTCCTTACGACTCATCGAACGGCGAAGATTGACTTGCTCCCTTTTACAAACAATCGTTAATGGACCGCAATAATAGCATCTCCTAATCGCATCAGATGCAATTCGTGATGCAATCGTTGAAAGGAACGCGATCAGCTGCTCAATTGGTGCAAATTGCGTTTCCTCGTGGAGTTTCGTTTCCCTATTTTTTATCCAGCCCGATAGATTTCGAGTGTACTCACAAAAGATTAGTCCATTCAAGGAATAATAGTTTTTTGAACTATGGTTCGATAATTCTCTTTGCAATCCATAGATTTGCGTTTCAAAATCTGTCCCGCTCAACAACTCGTTCCATTTTTCAGAATTACGTATAACGTATTACGTGGAATTTGTATAATTTTATTTAAATCTTTTGGTAACTTGTTAAAAACGTCAGACGAAGAAATAAATATGATTGATTCAACGCGTTTAATAGAAAATTAAAACAAGGGAACGTTACTGTTAGGGACAAATAAAGAACGATGAATGAATTCTACGAGCCATACGACAAAGCTATGATACTAATTATCTTGGATGCTTGGTTGGAAATTGTGCTCGCGTTTCACGGGGCTCGTCGCACAATGCTACCCTTGCGAGCCATCTCCATTTACCCTCGATTAATAGAGACGGTTAACTGGATCCGGGGAGCAAATATAGATCTTGCTGCGAGTGGAGAGCAAACACAGGACCGCGGAAAAGCCGCAATGCGAGGTCGCGCGAGCCATGAACGACGACAGGGCTGCCGACGTAGGTGGTGAACGTGTTACGAAAAAACATAATGAATGTTTGAGGATCGGTACGGTCGAACGAATGGCCCGATCCGCGTCTCAAGCAGCTATAACAACAAATTAAACGAGAAAATCTCGAGGCTTTCGTCGAAACGTCCACCCTGCCTTCGGGCTCGACCTACAATGCGTGGGCGTACACACGTATATACGTATAACACCATATAACACCAACACGCACGTCCCACCGGCCGAGTCCTGCTTCTTTTTTTCCCTCTCGTTTCAAGGGGAGAAGGTGGAACGATATTCTGTAAAGAGTATAATAACGTGCGTATGAAAGGGCAGATCCTTTGTGGGTAGCCGACCGTGTCTTGAAAGGATCCACCAGGATCTGCTGTGGCATGGAAGACGAGGGAAGGAGGATCGTCGAGATCGAGAGTTAGGGCACCAGCTGAGAAAACATGCCCGTGGCGTGTCGACAGCGAAATGTTCGTATTTGTGTCTGCGACCGTGGATGCGGTACATGTCGGGGAAGAAAAGATAGTAGTAGTCCAGGATGTTCGTAAATTCGTAGGTCGCGTACGGAAAATTGCCGCGCGCACCTTTCTGCTGTTAGGTCAGCGACGAGACTAAGCGATACCTCGTTCGGTCAAGTTTATCGGAATTCGTCGGAGATAATTGAATTAGCGGACGACCAGGGCTCAATCAAACGTTCTCTAATACAAAGATACTCGTTTTGTAAACGTACCTTTTACGTACTTTTTAATACTAAAAGAGTTGAAATATTTTCAAACTAAGAAAAGAATAGAAATTTTAGATCGAAAAGTTAATTTAAGAACGATTCTAATATATCTATGAATAAAATTTGTCCGAATCTGGTTCGAAGAAATCTGTATTCTCGAGCATTTAAACACCTGTTCGACGATAAAGAACCACGAACAACGAGTCCAAATTCAATTCCAGGGTCCTTTAAACAACGCGTACCGACTCGTTTGCAGGGTTGCTGATGCCACGGGGTCACGTGTCGTGCAGAGCAAGGAGCAGGACATTTTATTTTTCGCCCTCCCTTGCCTTTCGTCTTTTCTATGCTCCCCCTTGCACGCGCGTGCACATGTACGCGTGAATGCGATCTACGCATTGGATTTCACGTGAATCGCGCCCCCTCCACGAATTACCGGCTGGATTTATCGCCGAAGAAAAAGGCTGGCAGGGTATTCTCGTAATCCTTTGGCGTGGACCACTGTGCCGGCCCCTTTGATGCGTAGGCGTGGGCCACGCAAATCGAATTGGTCGGCGTCTCATCACGTTCCGTCGGAATCACAACCATTCCGCGTAATCGAGGCTGATTATAATTTATGCTTTTGTGCCACGATCTCCAACTTCCGCCGTCCGACCAGCGCTTTCGAACTTTCGACCGCGTGGATCGTTCTTAACTCTTCGAACGTCATTGATCCCTTCTTCGGCACAAGTAATTACTAACTACTGTCGTGCGATCAAACGCAATTGATCTTAATTTAAATGTCCGCTCAGCCAAGTTTATTTCTGAAATCGCTCCGTTTATAACGACTCTTAATTACTCTGCTATATCGATGTAACAAATATCATCGACTTAAAGTCGAAGCAAAGGCGACCGAAAAATGAATCAAAGAGAAAGTGAAAGTTCGCACGGAAAAGTACGTCCATACTTATTAAATGTCCAGATACTTTCGTAACCCAGTTTGTCGGAGAAGGTACGATTTAATTTTCGTCTACCTAGGATTATAAGACAATAGCCGTGAAATCCAATAGGGCGAATCTCGCGTTTCGTCTCGAGCATATCGTCTATTACTTCTGTCCCGATGGCCGATAGGTCCTCATTCCTCAGCTGCCACCGTAATTATTTACCATACACTGATTCTTGTTACAGAACAAACCGCGCTCGTATTTCCGTCCACTTCGACCGAAACGCAATAATTCTTCGAGCCGTTGGCCGCACGTGGAAACCGACGCGGTACCGAGAAAACCGAGGGCTAGCCGAACGTCCGATAAATCAGCGGATTCGTTAGCGGAATCTTCCTGAATCCATTTGTCCGAGCAGGGTAGATCCTGCTGTTTCGACAAGACGGTGTCGTGTTCGAACGGGTGACCTCGCGCTGCCGTTTCTTCCTTCCCTCCTAAACGGACCATACACGGTCGAGGTTTACAGGATGTTTGCCCGCAGGCTCCAACCACCGTCCCGTAAAATACAGTGAAAAAAGAAACAAACTGACCAACATTCCCTCGTCTGTTAATTGAGGCTATCACCAAATACGCAACCGTCGTTATTCTTTCTGGCATTTGTCATAGCTGTAAACAGTGCAGTTGTTGCTCATCTACCAACAATTAGCTCTATTTTAAAAACGAAATATTAAGAAACAACTTATTTTACCTTCTATAGTCATATTCGAATTTAGACGCAATTGATAATTTATCAACTATCACGTTTAACCCTAGTATTTATTTTTGTAATCAGATAAAAATACAGTAGTCCTTTCTTTAATTCTCTTAACGTCTCGCCTTAGGATGTCGCGTGGCATAGGTGTTGCCTCGGTAGAATCACGGTTTAAGAATGCGGTGTTACAGCGGCGATTCCGTGTTATACGGAGGTTGACTGTACCGGAAAGCATAACCGTGGCGAACGTAGTTCCTCCCTGGGGGCTCGTGGCGCGCATCTGCACGCTTCAATCAGCATTCCGCGGCTGCGCGCGCGAAAGATTGCGCAAGCTGCTCCAGTAGACCAGAACCGGCCGCATCGATATTTATGGGCAGCGGCATCGAAAGCGGTCCGCTGCGATTTTTTACCCGCGCGAATCGATCGACACGCGGTCCACGCTTCTGACGCTTTCGCCTATCCGTTAATTAAATTTATTGCCCGAACAGAGAACGACCTTTCGCCCGTTCGCCGGTTCCCCAGCGCGCGCCGTCCGCCAGGAATTCGCGCAATAATAAATATCCGGATGCTTGATTTATCGGTTCGCCCCGATCAACGTTGATACCGTGTAGGTGTTCCGGACCCGCGAGGGAATGATTAACGCTCGATGGACGAGATTACGTTTTCCGATCGTTCGTTCGATTGGAATTTCGTACTACGAAAAAGTCGAAACTCGCGTGCGTTGGTCGAACGGTGCCTTTGAAATCGATTCGAATCTAGCTGGGTAGTCTGTCTCGTTGCTCGTACAGGGTGTCCCCATTGAATCACTGCTCTCGATATGCTTGGGAAGTATTGGAGAACTTGGCGGGAAAGTAATAAAAGAAATGAGACAAAATTTGGACGAAATTATCGAATCGTAAATCCAAAATTTCGGTTCGAAAGCTTCGCCCTTGTCCAGAGGAAATAGCAGTGCTTCGGAGTGGACACCCTGTATAGTGGATAGAATTGTACTGAATTAAATACTCAGGATAGACTTTTAGAAACGATCTGAAAAATTACAGGGGTCGCGCAAAGATATAGTCGTCGACTGACAAGTATTCAAACTGGAAGTGAATTAGTGCTAATGATATAGCGATCGAGAAGGATACAGAGGTTAAATGTCAATTTAGAGTTGAGCTGATACAGATACAGTGGTTGTGTGTTACTCTATGACTTCAGGAAATACACTAAATTTTAATGGACGGTGAAAGTGGAAGAGGGACTAACAGGATAGAGGATTAGTAAGTTTAATAGAAAACTCGAAAGTTTAAACGGAGAATGCACTACTGCTACTCGGGCAAGATTTAAATTTCAGGGATCGTATCATTTACTACTTATTCATGTTTATTGAGAACAATTTAAAAAATATCATTTCAATATTATCTAAAATTTCTAGCTATAATAGTCGAGCTAACGAGCAACAGAGATCATTACGAAAGGTGGAATAATTAATTTCGTTTAAATGCCATTCGAAGTGTCCACTCGTTTGCCTAATCGACGTCTTCCGGATCGACGGCTTGTATTTTCTATCGTTATAGATCGTGCATCCACGGCTTGTTAACTTTCACGGGTTAGCTGTCTATTAG